TGCTAATCCATCTGTGTTAGGAATACTCTGTAGTTTACTGAATAGAATTCTGTTGAGATGTTATCCTGAGACCAAATTGCTTTGAGAACTCCCATCTTTGAAGGGTATAAAATAGGCATTGTCTCTTGTATAGGTTTAGTTACCCTTAGGTAACTAAAGGGTAAGTGGTTAGGGTAAGTGGTAATTAACCCTTTTGACAAGCAATTCCTTTTAGAATGTCATGTAAATATCATTCAACCAATTGTAAATGTAGTACAGCTGTCCATACATGGTTATGAAAGCCAAAAATAGTAGCTAAAGCATTCTAGTGGCTGAATAAATCAGTTTAAGTAGTAATGCAGATATGTTGCCATTCGTAAAAATTAGGATTTCATTGTTAGAGATAGGTGACACTGATAGAGAGCAACCGATGATGATTAAACGGTTAAAACTGTTGTCATAATTGAATTTCTTAGAGGAGCAAAATTCGTAAATTAAATTTCAGTAGTGTGCCTCATCTACTGTTTGTTTTACATAGAAAACTTTTTTGTTGTTTCCGTTCTTACATCAATCTTTATGACCTTGTTGAATCTAATTATTTATTACTGAATTTCAGCAATATTTTTGGGTTCTTTCCGTTTGCCTTACGAAGAAATAAAAAATATAATTTTAGAGGTTGATGAAGAGAAGCTGAGTGAATCCTTGATTCAGGTATGTGCAAATATCTCTGGTTTTGTTTGTAGATTTTTCCACATATAAATGCTGTAAAGATATGGGAATTCAGAATTAAGAACAGTGCAGAGTTTTCTGGATAACAGCTACAAATGTATGCCTTGTGTTTACTGTTTTGTTTATTTCACTTCTACTTTAGAATACAATTGATAAAAGCAGTAAAACTATCTTTAGAAGACACTATTACTAGGAGTACTTTTGAATCTCTGACTTTATGAATTTTCTCTTTCAAAAGGAAATGTCCAACAATTCTAGTTTTTCACTTTCAAAGACAAGCATTTACCAGAGTTAGGCTGGTGGATAATGTGGTTTCATCAATCTTGTGGAAACAACTCTGCTTGTTACTAGTGATGGATGGAACTCCCTATCCTGTAGCAGGATAATGCTACAACCCAAAACCCATCTGTAAATCAAACTTGCTCTGAAGCTGGTTTGGTCTTATTTTGAGCCCCAAATCTCTCAGTTGGAGAGAAAGTATGAAATGCAGCTTTGTTGTGTCCCTCTCTGATGTCCTCACAGTAGGAGGTCTCTGGGGAGTGACAGAAAAACATGTAAACCTAAGCTGGTACACAGATGGAGCACAGCAATTATATTGGTGTTGAATTGGTTTATTTTCATATCGTACACAGATTGACTTTCGAGCTAACATACTGGGCATCTATCATTCCTCCTTCTCAGTCTCCTCCTTGCACCCCTGTCCCAGTTTCCCCAAGGCTTCCTAGATTAATTTCTTCTTCCTTTCTTGGACATGGAGAAGGGTTATGCCAGGGGCACTGGGCTCAGCTGAGTTGCCTTGTCTTTTAACAGTTAGTTACATAATTCGTAACTTCTTCAAATTTTAACATGAGGGTTTTTTAACAAAATTACTACCTTGCAAAGCATGCAGCATAAATGGATTGAAATTTTTCGAATTAAACTTGCTTGCCCTTGGTCTGCAGTTTTTCTTGTGTCACCAAGGCCTTCCTGTGTTTCTGGAGTTTTGTTTTCTTGAGGCTCTAAAGGAAGGGCTGCGGTTTTCTCAAACACCTTAAACTATTGGGTTCACAGCACTACATACAGTTAGATATTTGCTTACAGTGTCATACTCTGAGAGTTATACTGCTAAACCTAATGTGTTTGAAAAATAAAGATTTTTGTATCCAAATTTCTCATTCCTGTTTCATTTGGGATAATACTTGATTTTTTTTTTTTTAAATTCCTATTGCATAATGCCTTTGGAAGTTCCCATTTGATGGGTAATGACTTCCAGTCTGACTTTGATGTGTTTCACTATGATGTCCTGCTTCAGGCCACGTTGGCGTGAAATTGATTGGTTTCGAGTATGGGGCCTAAAATTAAATAAAAAGCATTTCTAGTATACATATTTACATTGCTAAAAATACTGTCTTTGGCCACTGAGTAAGTCTTCTCACAAAAACTTAAGGACGTGATACATAGTATTTGGCAATAAGTAAGAAGTCTTGAGTTTATGTTTATTGATCGGGGATATCAGATCATTTGAGAAGCCAACAGGATTAGTAAAATCAAAAATCAACAGGGAGGGAAAACCCACCTTGAGTATCTGAAGTGTGGAATAGTTTCATATTGGTAAGGTTGTCTCTCTGACAAACACAGAGGTATCTTGAGACCTGGATTAATACAAAATAGGATGTGATATGCTGAAGTATAAGGTCATGATCTTACACGTTAATTGTAAAATGCTGGAAGCTGATGTTGTAATGGTTGCTTATCAGTTGGAAAAGTTTGATGAGAAGTGAGTCTTTGCTCACCAGGACATGTATAGCTACCACTGTGATGTAGGTGTATGTAGAGGTTTACCCTGGCCAGCAGCTGAGCCCACGCCCATCCCCAGCTGGTTGCCCTGGCCCACCTGTTGGAGTGGGAGAACGCAGGTTGCCCACCCCTGGCCCACTTGCAGAACGAGAAACAGAGAAGCCTTCAAGCTGCAGAAGCCCTGTTCAACCCTAGCTAAAACACTGGTGTGTTATCAACACTGTGTTTTGGTCATAAGTCAAAACAGCACCGTATGGGCTGCTATGAAGAAAATTATACTTCATCCCAGCCAGACCCAGTAAACCATAAAAAAGGCAAATGTGATTGCAAGGTGCATCAGGTCAAGAATTTCCAGTAGAGAGGATCATTATTATGCTTCGGAATAATGTACTTCTAAGCCCAAAATACATGGTACATTTCTCAAAAATGAATTTAAATTGGAGAAGCTGAACTTAGAAATTACTTAAGGTGGCTGAGGGCTGGGGAAACAGTCTGCAGAAGGGAGCTAGAAGAGATGGGCTTGATTAGCTTAGCAATATAAATAGCTGAGAGGGGATACAACTACGTTATAACTGTATGGGAGAAGAGTGGTGAGCATAAGCATTGAGGAGAAAAATGCATTATGTAAAAGGCAAATAGTATCACCAGGATAAATGTAGATGAATTCATCATGAATGCAACTATCCAGAAAACCCATCTGCCTATAACTTTCAAAAAACTGAGGTTTGGAGATTGGTCCATTTCTGGAGGGAATGGTGTGGCAGAGTTGCTGCTAACAGCAGGGAGATTTCGCTGTTAATCTGGAAAAGATTCTTCCTGTGTTTCTAAAGACATTCTTACAAGTGTATTGGGGTGAATGGGTTGTATCATCTATTTCATGTTCAGTCTGTGCTGGTTTATTTTTATTCTAATCTTCCAACTGAGTTATTAACTAATTTACCAGTTTAACAGTTTTCAATAAAACTGATTGGAAAAATTTTACAAAGCAAATCTTCCTTTCTTTCATGCTTAGCAGAACTTGTACTTTATAAAAATGCACATGTAGAAAGTGCTTTGTTCTAAATATCAAAGTGGTGAAAGCTAAATGGGTATAACATAATTGAACATATAGAAAAGTACTTTTTCAGTTATGCTTCTCAAGTCCTTCTTTCTTGCTGCTTTTCAAACTTATTTTGGAATACTCACTAAATTTAATTGGATTAATCAGTTTGAGTACACGGTAAACTATATACTGTTGTGACTCTTCCTTGAGGAAGATGATCTAGGAAAAAATGTTCTCCATTCCCAATGTGTCTTTGAGAGAGTAGGCTCTTGTAAGCATACAGTTGTCAAACACTGTGTTTAGCAGTGAGAAGTGAGTGATAGTTTCAGAATCTTAATGTCAGCCTTAGATTTCTACTTGTCTTTATGTTTATCTAAAGCATTTTTATTTACCCTATTTTTATTTGAACCCATATCATCATGAACACATGAAACTCTACTGACAAGGATTTGAATACGTGATCACTTACTGCTTTAGCTTCATTTTCAGTATTTAATACAATTAATGAAAATAAACATATTTAAACATATATATATATATATATATATACAGGGAGCTGCAGTACTAGTAGAGCCAAACTGTCTGTCTAAGAAGCCGAGGGTAAGATGAGTTGATCTGTTAGCTCTAGAACATGAAGGGGGGTGGGTGAAGAAAAAGAAATGATCAAGCATGCTAACAGATTTTGGTTACGTAGCTAAAAAAAAGGGCAGCTTTAGTAATAGGTACTCATATTTCTACATTATGGAAAAAATAATTTACAGTAAGTTTATTCATGTGTAATGAAAGATAAGTTTCTGACAAATACTATGAAATTTTTGATGATAGCATTTGGTAAATAGTCTACCTAATGAAAAAATAGGTTAAAAAATTACTTTAGTGTTTGTCTTTGGTCTTTACCAGCAATAAACAGTTAATCAAATGAGAAATAGTTTTTCAGGTCCTTAACTTTTTTTGAGGTAGAAATTTGTGGGACATGGCTTTAGGTTAGTAGCAAAGGAAGCATGCTTAGGTTTAAACAGGAGGCTATAGCTTAATTGTATGACACTGGGGTGAATGTGATGCTTATCTCTGTCAAGTATATTGAACTCGGCTTGATGAGACATTCAGTAGCTCCTTGGTGTAAGTGTAAAATTCTTTCTGGAACAGGGATGTTTTGTATGAGACTGCTCTATTTTTCCTTATTAAGTTGGGTAATGTTTGATTTTTTTCAGCTTGGAGAATTAAGGTAGCTATCACTTGCAAATTTGACAAATGAGACTGATGCCTTTCTGCAAGTTGTACCTTAATGCCTGCTTCATCAAGCCTGGCAGTGATCAGTAATCAAATTCTCCTAACGAATAAGAATATTGCAAGAGTGATGGCAAGATTGTTATGTTCTAAAAATAAGACATCTCTGCCTCTAATAGTACAGGTTTTCTCTGATAAGATTTTTATATCTTGAAAAGCTGGTTGCTTTTCTGATTTTAGAAGGCACGTAACTTTTTTCGTATCAGGGTCTTTTTGTGACATAAACCTAAACAGTGATTATTGGTTCCTGCCATAAGTCTTTCATAAGAACAAAGGTGATTAGTGGAGATGGAAAATTAAGTAAAGGGCACCCTTTGTGTATGTATTTTAATACACTTTGGGTTTTAGATCTTAAGATTTATGAACATTTTTGAACAAAAAAGGCCTATTGACTCTTCTTGCTTGTTTGAATATTAATGTATAATTTTTTCCTTGAAAAATTACATAATTGTTTTGATTTCAAATAATGTATATATCAAAATTTAAAGACAGTCTGAACTTTGCTATCTTTTAAAACAAAAGTATTCTTCAGCCTTAATCTAAATATTTTATACATTTAGCATATCTGTATTTTGAGATGATAAGATCGTATAATAAATCATACAATTTTCTCTGGCGACATGGATAAGATTTCAAGGAAGTTCTACCTTTTGCTGGGTTCCAGTATATTTGCCATCCAGAAGATCTGTACAATTTTGAGTTGTTGCTCTTCTTTTTTTTGCACGAGATGTTTTAAAGTGAAGTTTGTGCACAGTTATTTTGAATGTCTAAAGATTTGTGGTTTTTTTTAGGTGTTTATATCTTGCTTTTCGCAGGCCAGTTATTTCTTGATTAATATTTAAGGAGTAAGATGCAATTAGGAGGGCAAAAGAAGATTGTAGATCTTCAGGGTTTGACAGTATCAAGGAGTTTTGTCTAACTTTTTAATACTGAGAAGACATTCTTCAAATTTGAGACTCTAGCAGAGGTGTTGATGTCTGTATTAAATAATTACGGGCTTGATTTCATGTTTATATAGTATTAAAGCTGCGTAAATAAAATAAGCTTCCCATAATTTCTTCATGCATTTTCATTTTGTGGTATTTTAAGCATGTTATTTTAAGATCTCAGCTAGTTTAATACAACAAAGTTAATATAATGCCTTGTTTGTTTTAGAACCTAGTGAAGAATCTTCCTGAGCAGAAAGAACTCAATGCCTTAGCCGAATTAAAGGATGAATATAATGATCTTGCTGAGCCAGAACAATTTGGAGTTGTGGTATGTATTAGTGCAATAATTAGCTGGAGAATTGTGTTTTTTTCAAGTGGATTAAAAAGAAAAATTTTAAGTTTAAGTTATTTTGGTTAATGTTTTTGCAAGTCATGCGGTAGGCTGGTTGTGTCACATCCCAACCTCTTGCACACCCCCAGTCTATTCACTGGGTTGTGCAGAGTGAGAAGTGGAGAAAACCTGGACACGGTGCAAACACTGCTCAGCAGCAGCTCAAGCATTAGGGTGTTGACAGCATTGTTTTGGTCAGAAGTCTGAAACACACCACTGCGCAGGTGCTGTGAAGAACAATTCACCCCATCCCAGCCAGACCCAGTGCAGCAGGATTAGTCCAAGTTTGCTCTGTTACTGGCAAGGTTCGTGTGCTTTGCCTGGGCTTGCATAGAAGCATGTGGTTTTTAAGAACTGGGTTAAGTATATCTGATGACTTATGCAGAGATGATGTGCTGGCAGTTTTTTTGTAGAAAAAATTATTTCCCCAGTTTCACCTTTGTACAGAAGGCATTATGACAGATTCATTAATGTCTGCAATTTATTAATCTCTTAGTCTGAAATTTGGTGGAGCATAGGACAGGCAGGATCAGGTTTTGCATTTTGCACTAATTTGGTTGTAGTTGACTAATGGCCTTTTCATTTTGGGTGTATGATAATATGCTCCTACAAATGGAAGCCTGGAAAAAAGGTGTAATTATTGTAGATAATAAAAAAGCTGATCCAAGACAGTAGAAATATTTTTCATAAAGTAAAGAAAACCTGCAAAAAATAAGTCTATTTCATTCTTTGCCACACATTTAGCTTCATCTTGGTTGGATGAGTGTGAATTTGATGAGTGAGAGAATGTAACTAATACTCTAGCTGTTTGTGTATGGTTTGGCTACAGGAGTACAAATGACAGTGCAAAAATTGAAGTTTTCTGTCATCAAATGTAAAGTACTGAGATACCGCAGGAGTTAGGTATATGACAATACTTGGGGAATGTTTTTGCTCTCATATTTGGAAGATTATTTACCTCCAATTCAGAAGACCACCAGTTAGAAGGAATAGTTCTTTTGCTTTTTCTTGATGTAGTGGTAAAACAGAAGCATTTAATGAAGGTGCCAGTGTACAAGTACTGTGTATTAAGTGTGTGTAGGTAGTAAGTGCTTTGAGTACACTTTTTTCCAGAGTTTGAATTCATGTCGATTTATGTTTTACTGATAGGTATCTGAAAACCACTTGAACTGAGGGGAGTAGCTTTGTTTTTTTGCAGTTTTTTTGATAGTTTGGGGTTTTTCTATCGGATGTCTGTCAGCTAGGTCTAACACTTATTTCCTAATTCTTTTTATATAGTAGTATGATTTGTTATTTGTAATCTTTCATTCTGATTGTGCTGGCAGTTTCTTTCCCAGAAAATGATACAACCATAAATGGAAGTCACTTGGGAAACTGCTCCTTGTCTTACATACCTGAGGATCATGCATGATCTGACTTCTGTCTACTGCAGGATCGAAACTAAATGGTCCTTTTTTTCTTTTTCCCACTCAGTTGTGTTAAAGTCATAAAAGTATAGTTATTTTCCCTTACGTAGTCATGCTCACTGTTTTGTTGATTCATTCTTTTGAGGAATGACTGATTAGAAAAAGTTGAGAAAGAATTTAAAAGTGTTTAGTGGAACTTAATTAGACAAAACTGCTTAATCAAACATCTCCAAATGGTGATGTTTGTCTTATGAAGGGGCTTAGTTTCCTGAAGCTTGTTTGCTTGTTTGACTTTACCATCTGGTTTAATAAAAAAAAAAACTACATTTCCTTATGGGTAGTGATTCTGTCTTATTTTTAGAGGCCTCTAACTACATTAATACTACTAAAATGCTGGTTTTGTTTCTGATTTTGATTTAATTGAACAATCCATTAAAATGGAAGAAATGCAGCTCAACTTAAGCTCTTTACTTGACTGCAGTCCTTTTTTGCTATGTGTCACATTGAGTTTTGCATTAATAATAATCTTAACCTTGATGTTAAAACAAATATGTTTAGGAATAGAAGAAGAGAAAGACTATCTTAAGAAATATTTAAAATATGTACCCTTATTTGTATGTAAATTTAGATATGTTAATTATTAAGAAATGTTAATTGGATAATCACTGTGCCCATCAAATTTAATAAAGGTTGCAATAAGCTGTTTAAAATCAGTGTAGAAAACCCATACTCAGTAAATGATGAACTTATTAGAAGAGACACATTAACTTAATATTCAGCTGATATGCAGATGAAAGTTAGAATTGCATTTCCATTTAGATGAAATGTTAAAATCAATTATATATTCAAATTAGTTATTGGAACTGTTTTTGAAGTGATATCCTGCGATCAAAAAGGCAACACAACTTCGTATAAAGAAAAGTTTGTGTTGATGTTAAAGTAGAGCAAGAAAAATAGATTAACTGCATCAGTTGTATGACATTAAATAAGCTAGGCAGAATGTTCTCTGAATGTTAAATGTAAAACTTGTGTTTAAGGGTTTTTTTTTTTTATGACATGGGAACAGCTGCAACTTCAATAAGGATACTGGCTTTTGATTTCACTGCCAGTTGAACACTTCAAGTACTATAAAAGCATAAGTCTCATCTATACTATGGAGTGTGAGTACCAACCATTTCCTATCAACTCAGAGGACAGAGTGGAAAAAAAATCTTTTGCAATATTAGTGGTATTTAAACTCAGAAAACTTCACCTACTTTACCATCAGCTGTGAGTTTTGAAGCTGAGTTAAGAAGAATATTACCACTTTTGCAAAGATCACGCCACAATTACGGGGTACAAATTTTAGTTAATAACCCTTTAGCAAGCCAACAAAACAAGTGACAGGAACTGACCAAAGAGTTGCCCTTCTGGTGTGTGTTCTGGAAGAGTGGGAGGGTTGTTTTTACTGGTTTCTAGTGAATGCAAAACGTCCTTTGGCTGTTAGGAACTGGGTTATCAGTAAATTTGTTGCTAATGCAAGAGGAGAAGTTTCACAGAGTAGTTATAGAGACTTGCAGATTCTGTGACCCTTCTTTGGGATTACCTGTCCTGAACAGTCCTTGCTGGGACGTAGATGAAGTGGGAAGAATTGTACAGGTGTATTGCACTTGCATTGGTTTAGAGTCATTCAGTCATTTAAATTGAATTTATTTGCCACTCGTTTTGCCTCATTGTAATTTCTAGACTTGCTGAAGAATTCATCTTTCTAGAACATTACAGTTGCCATTTTTTTTTCCTAGCAATATATGATAGGTAAGAGGCTAAGTTGTCTTAGCAGGTTGACAGATTGTTACAGGAACGTCAGCTTTTTTCCGAAGGAAGTGAGGCAACTTTAGTTGTGCTTTTTGCCTTTTTTCCAGTAATTTTTGATCCTAGTTTTAATACAGGGCTTGGGAATTGAATCATGATAATAAAGAATAAAGAACTGAATAAAGAACTTGATTAGGTAGAGAATTCAGACAAGGACCTTTATGAAAGCCCTGGAGGAGAAATCATGACATGCAGTCCAGTGCTCATAGCTAGCTGGAAGAGGAGTACCCGTTTTCTTGCTTCTTAGCTGTTTGTGGCGGAAGCTAATGCTTGCTGTTATATGCATCTATTTGAATGTGTTATTTCTTGTATGCCTTTGACACTAATTTTGTAGAATTATAAACAATTTGACCTTTCTCTAAGTGAATGTCATCTTTGCATCTTATCTATTTTCAGAAGATTCCTCTAAATTCAGTATGTTTGTCAGCCATTGAACATGTGTATTTAGAAACATGCATATGCAAGAGAAACTTGGGCAGGGTGGGGCAGGAGGAAATAAAATAGCATTTGTGGTGATCTTCTATTGATACATGAGAGCATAATGTATATAAAAAGTTTGGAATTCTAAGGAAAGAACCACTTGAAACAGCTCTTATGGAATTGTCAAGATACTTTAAAAATATGTAGATCAGCAAATGAAATTAAAACTTGCTGCTGGTTTGGTAGTCAAACTACCTTGTGAAGCAAGTAAATGATCATTGTTCCATAACACTTCACAACATTAAAAAAGAAAGAAAGTACAAATTGACTGAAGTGTTGTGAAGGATTATTCTTCACACATGTTTAAGTCACACCATTCTCTTGGCTTATGGGTATTTAGTTGCGCTCTGTTTTCAGGATCTAAAGCTTTTGACAACTTTTTTTCTGTGCCGTTTTGAGTAAAAACAGTAATTGGAGATTGTTCTGCAAAAGTTCAAGCAAATTATGTGATTAATTTTAATTTCCATCTACAGCAGCTCAGTGAAGGTAGATCCTTTCAAGGCAGATGTTTTCAGTATGATATTTCTAAAATACGCAATGATTAGAAGAATAATGTTTCAAGGCTCTGCATCATGTTGGCTTATAGAGGCTCATGGAGAAATTTGTGACAATGGAGATGTATAAAAAAAGATCGCAAGTTACACTAAAATACTGCTTTTCTGATCTGTTCCTTTTCCTTGTTCCAATCTGATCAGATGAATTGTTTGATCTGGAATTGTGAATTGTTGATCTGGAGTGCCTTCATATTTATGTTCATTTTAGCATGAATTCGTTATTATTCAGACCACCAAGTCTTTCCAGTGAAGGTTATTGCTGCTGCTTCGGGTAGCTGTCTGGTAGATAGTTTCTCAAAGAGCCATGGTAAAGCTTTGGGCAACAGGGACATAAGCACATAAAAACCTTTCTGTTTTGATAGTTGAGATCTGTGATTTGTCCCATAACAAAGCTTTTCTTTCAGGGGGACAAAGTGTTTCAGGAACACCACTGATAGTGAATACATTGGGGGAGAAATCTTTCTCTATTCTGCTAATTAAATTTAGGAGTTAGATTTGGAAGGTAATCATTCTTGCATTTAGTAGATGAAAAATTTTCAGTACGTATTCTCCTAAGTTTAAACAGCTTGTGAAGTATAGTCTGCTGCGAAGTAGGAGGAAATACTAGTGATCACTTGTGCAGAATATGAAAGGCATGGACATATTTTGGTAGCTGGTCTAATGAAATTGGTCTTGGGGATTCAACTGAATTAATCACTATTGTAGATACTTTTCAGTATCTCTGTTGTTTACCATGTTACAACACTGTGATTTAAGACCTCCCGTCTTTTTGTCAGATCAGGAAGGAATTAGTCCTATACTACCTTTTGCAAAGTGTCTGAAACATAAAGACAATGGTATCTTGGGCAGCAGTTTGACAAAATCTGTTTAAAAGGACAAAAAGAGAAGAGGTTGAAAAGCAGGCAGTATGTTGCCTACAAAGTATGATGCCGTGGGATCAGAGCTGAAAAAGTATAGCAGAAGAATATCCTTACTTTAGTATCTCTAGGTATATTCCTTTTATATAGAACTTATTGTTGTGAATTTCAACCAAAACCTCTTTATCCACCTCCCAAATCTCATTATTCTTTGGGATAAACAGATTGGGGCTTTTTGATGGTGTGAACTTGAAAAGTCTTATGACTTAAAATACATTTGACCTTATTTAGTAACTATCAGTACTGGTAGGAGTCATTTATTTTAGAACTTGCTATAAGTGTACAAAACACAAAAATTTAATTTAAAACTGCAAAAACAAACACCTAGTTAGAGGTAGCACTGATGTCATCCATAAATATCACAGTTAACAGCTCACATCAGTACAATGGCAGAAAAACCTTTCATGAACGATAGTGCTAGTGTGACTTGGCTTTATATAAACATTTGACTAGTGAAACTGGATCACTTGTGTCTCCAACTCACTTAGATATTCCCATGGCCTTCCACAAGGGTCTGTAAGAATTCATCATCTCTGTCCCCTGTTCTTCTCCCAGTGACCAAGAGCAAGTCGAGAGCTACGTGTCAGCTCAGTAAGAGAGGCTAAAAATGGAAAGTAGAATTCTTTAGCTTAGTCAGACCGAAGTGTTTGCGTTTGTGCTGGTACCAGCAGACACTCGAGAGATTGTCGTTCTATTTCTGATGGAAGAAAAACTGGGAAGCTTAGTTCTAGGAAATTGGTAAATATCAGAGTTCAAGGGTAACTTCACTGGAGATGTGATGAAATGTTTGCCACGTGTACCTTCAAGCTGATCTTCAGTTCTTGTTAGATGGTGGAACTCGCTTACATTTCCTTTGCTGGGAGGAAGGGTTTTGGCAGAGGGCATTTGTTGCCAGTGAATTTAGAATTCACAAGTTAAATGATTTGGTAACACAAAGCACTCTGTTATTTTCAATACATTGCTTCACTGAATTTTTTTCAGGCCAAGTGCATGGTTTGGGGAAGAATACCTCTTGGCAGGAACAGATTCCTGGAAATACAAGACAGGGAATGAAGCATGCAGGAACTGTAGTCTTGCTGGCTGCACAATATTGTTTTTTACCATGAGTTATTTTGTGTAAATAAGCATTTGTTTTTTTTTTATGTTCTGATTTAATGTTTCTTATTTTGTAGATGAGCTCAGTGAAAATGTTGCGGTCACGTCTCAATGGGATCCTTTTCAGGCTCACGTTTGAAGAGCACGTAAACAATATCAAACCTGACATTATGGCAGTTACGCTGGCTTGTGAAGAGCTGAAGAAGAGTGAAAGCTTTAGTAAGCTTTTAGAGTTAGTGCTGTTCCTTGGAAACTACATGAACTCTGGCTCCAGAAACGCACAGTCTCTTGGTTTTAACATCAGTTTTCTTTGCAAGGTAAGATGAAGCTATAAAACTTTTAAGTGCAGATTCATGAAAATCATGACACATGAGAAAGTACCCTAAGCAGGGAAGAACATTCAATCAATGTAGTTTACTGACTGCACCTCTGTTGTTAATAATGGATAGACAAATACAGAGTGAACATTTCTAGGATGGTCCCTGCTAGAGCTGTCTTTCTCAATGCTGTGGTGATTTAAGGCAGTTGTTTAATCGTAAGTCTGTTCTGCGCCTTATTGGAGTATATAAGTAGAACAGGTTTTTTGATGTGAATTTATTCAACTATCATCTTGTCAACAGAATATACATAGACCTCTGAATATGTTAAACAGCTCTAACTGCTTGTCCTTCCTCCCAGCTTCTACCCAGCAATCCCTCAAGCAGTGTTACTGAAATAAGAGTTCGGGATTAAAGATGGACATTGTTATCCTAGGTTTAACTTGAATTGTGGTGACAAAATATGAGATGCAATGAGAACTTCAGAATCTATAGCATTTGGAGTTTAATGTGCAGTGGCTTTTTTTATATGGCAAAATGTGTGTAAGGCATTGATCTGAACTTGACTATCTCAGTTTGTAAAGGACCTTTGAAAATATCTTTAAAATGAAGGGATGCAGCATTTGTAAACAGATTATTTTGTTGTTGTTTTGGAAAAAAAAAAAAAAGCATAAATCTTGCAGAGGAATTTTTCAGTTACTTTTTCTTTGGTCTAACCAGAGGGTCCAGGTTTCAAGTCCCTTTTTTGGACACCATGAGGAAGTTGATGTATACCTCAAGGAGATTTAACCTTTGGGGAAAATAATATTTCAAATACACAGCAAGTCTGATGTGACATATTTCAATAGAGAAAGACTCTGCTTGCTGTAGTTTAATAAAAAGATGTTGCTACTTCTGGTAACATGAAAACAATCACCTGAGAAATACTTCCATTCTTTAATAGCTTTTTTGAAAGAGAGGCCAAGTTGAAGGATTTTTGACATAAATCCAGTACTGCGTTTTCTTTTTGGTAGTAGTGGAATCTAAAGGGAAATGGATGTTTTATGTAGAAAAGTACTTGTTAATGAGGAGGAGGGGAAATGATGACTGCGCGTGAATGGTACTCTAGCATAGCGTAGATTTGAGAAGGCATTGTTGCACCCCAGGTGATAGATTTATGAACTGCTGTCAATGCAAATCCCACAGATGTTGACACAGCTAATGTAGGTTGACTAATCCTGCAAATTGTTCTCTACTGAACTGAATAATTGCTGAAGCATAACTATCTGTGCTTACTGCTAAATTCCATTGAAAATAACTGAGAGAAGAATCTGTGACTATTTAATTCAGCCTTGCCCTCAGAAACAAGATCTATTTGTTAACTTGGGTGTTTTTTGGTTTGTTTTTAAGATACATATTTCAGAGGGAAGTGTTCATTGTTGGTTTTTTTTCTTCTCCCCTGTGCAACTAGAGGAGATACTTCAACGTTCTCCCTAATAAAATGCTGACTGTGCTGTTGCATTTGGGTACTAGGTATATTTTGTTATAAGGTAATGTCTAAAAATAAAATAATCACAGGGACAGTGATCATTGTTGGAGCAAAAAAAAGGTCTCACCAAAATCTAGACATGAATTTGTATTATTAATAGCTCTACATGTTGATGAAACCTTGTGAATTATCACTCATAAGTTCCAAACTCAGAACAAGTCACTTAAATTAATGGAAATGTAGATAAGGTTCTCTGGGCAGAGGGACATGTGTGTTGTCTGCAATTTAAATTTATTGTTTATTGCTCAAGTTAAGAGATATTTTCTGCTATTTAAAGCTCTGATTTTCATTGCTTTATTTACCACTCTAATTTGAATTAGGTTAGTATAGTAATGTGCTTTTGCAAGAGTTCTCTTTTCAAATGGTTTTGTACCTGTACTTGTGCTTCAGTATTGTGTAGAGCAGCAACCTTCTACTCCATCGATGTTTCATTTGATAAAAGAGGAGTTTACACAGTTAGTTTTCATAATGCATTTTTTAAATTACTGCTAAGAATCCAAGTTTATATTTGAGAAATGACCCTTTTTATGCATTCATTATTTTCAACTGATAATTGCATTTGATTTCTTTGTTTAATAGCTTTCAAATTCTGCCCTCCCATTTTCCACTCAAAGTAACAGGATTGTTTTATTGGCTTTGTGTTGTTAACTAAGAGTGTAGTCTGATAGGCCTTTGTTAATTCTTGTGAATAGTGCAAAATACTCAACTATAAAAGATAATGCCGCCTGATATAAGCACCCGGGTTTATGTCTGTCTACAGCCACTTACCAGCTTTATTACATTATTCAAACAGTCTCAAAATTTGAGATCTTTGGTCAATAATTGGCCTTCACTGTGAAAATGAAAACTTCTGTATGAGTGCATGTGGTAGGGCCAGCGTATTGTCTTGTTTACTGAAATCTTGCTGTGAAGTAAAATTTCTAAAGTACATTTCTTGGCTGAAGAAGGCAGTAAGAGAGATAAGTGACATCTAACAGCAAGAACAAGGTAGCACCCTGTTTGCAGTTGTCATGTGGCTTACATGGTTTTGCTCTGTGGGGCTTCTGGGTGCTACTAAATTTTGAAGGCTGCGTGAGTGCTGAAAGATTGTGTGTGTGTGTGGTGGCAATTTGAGAAGGCACTGCAGATGAGAGGTCTTCCTTGAATTATTTCCAAGTATCTTTGTTTCTTCTCCCAGGGAATGTATTTCAGTCATCAGGCTTTAAAGAGGAATTTGAGAGCCTTTCTATCCTCATAGATACGTTTTGATAGAATACCTGTCAAGCCTAGAAATTAGTAACTTATTTAAATGTTTTGTGAAATAGTTTGTGCACTGTTTGTGTGGAACCATGATGAGCAATAGGATGTTACAATTTAGAGGTCACCCTTAGATAACCTCAGGTACATTGTTAGTTTAGAAGTCGGATATAACATGCTAAAGAAACTTTGTCCTAATTTTTTGTTTTGTTTGCCGTAAAACCTGCTACTTTTTTTTAAAAGCAACTTTAGAATGAGGAGGAGAATTTCTTACCAGTTAAACATTACTTGACTGAAATAGGAACTCCTTCAACAGGAATTTTAAAATCAAGGAAGACCATCTGGCTTCATTTTTTTAAATGCTGGTCATTTTTTCTAATTTTTTTTTTTTTTACTTGTTGACTCTCATTGTAGTATATCTGATGGGACAACGTAGCTGACTTGACTCATATGTTAGTTTTTAGGTGTTCTTTACTGTATGTTCAGTTTTTGCCCAAAGACAAGGATTTAAGTCTCAGAAAAAAATCATCAGAAAACATATTAGAGCAAGGGGAATGAAACCAGTGGATATTCCATCAGTGATTTTTAAAGGCTTGATGTTTGTAAGTTTTTAGTTTGTGGGGTTGTTTTTCTTTTTTTAGACCAGTGACGTAAACTGTCTTAAATGTCAGTGGACTATCTGCACATAATAAGAGAGCTTTAAATTTTATATTTTGAGCCAGCTGTCAGCAAGGTAGAACACACGTCTGTGTCCACATTTCTGTGTGCAGAATACACCTAGAAAGCAGAGCTGTTTTAACAATGAGGTATCTTAATGTGCTGAATTCACTTTTCAATAAAACCTGATTTTTGTATTGAATTTTTTTTTTTGTTATTCTTGAACAATCTTAAAATTAATTGTCTGTTTAATAGATGTAATATTTCGTTATATGGTCTGAAAAAAATAAAGAAAAAGGTCAGGTATTGATCTGGGATATAGGTTTGTTTTTGTAAAATGAATGTTCTTAAAACATACTTGTTAATTTCGTAGGTAGAAATCTGTTCTTGTGTAACAACTTTTATTAAGACATGATAAAGAAAAGAAATGAATTCAAACCAGTCTGGTCATAGCTAAAAGGCTAATGCCTGTCTAGTAATTGCAAATCCTTAAAAACAGATTATCTTTCTGGATGTCATATTGCAGTGTATGATGTTAATGAAGAAAGAAATTATTTGTAAACAACCTCTGGCAGAAGACAGAGAAGTTAATTTTGTTCAGATAAGAGGGATCAGCATTAGAATTCATGCGCCGTATCAAGACGGGCAAGCAGCAGCAGCTACTCTGATGTATGCACCAGAGCATTCGTGATTGCTGAAGTGTTGCTCTGCGAAAATAGAAATATGGCAGAAAAAGTAGTCAAGTTCAAAGAGGTTGCTGTCGTAATTCACTGCAGGTAAATCTTTTTACCAGTTGTTGAGTTGGATCTATGTGTACGGATGATCCAAGTGCTGTTCTGAGCCCCTCTTGCAGCAGTTCCTATCCCTTCTGGAGGACAGGAGAACCCTCGTGGTTCTTTAAAGTTGTGCTATACACCAACAGAAAGAAAAGAGGTTTGCTTCAGGCGTATGTAGGGAACAGCTTCTGTTCTTTTTGTGGTTAAGACTAACAACAAGCAAGCTTTTGTAGTGTTCTAGCTGGATCGATGTGTACTTTATGCAATAAGTCATACTATGTTGCTTTTTGTTCATAGTGCAAATAGTACAAGACAAGCTGTTGGTCTAGTTTGAGTTATTACTGTCTGGTGTACATGTATTAATTGTCTACCAGCCCCTTTTCTGTTACAGTGGGGAAGATTTCTAGGATATGAAAAGTTATATAATCTCATAAAAATTGTTAGCAAGCTTTTTTATAGCTATAATAAGCAAATGTCACTGTAGTGGTAGTTACAACATGCATTTTTCTTTACGTTGTCTGTCACTTTTCACCCTCACACTTGAAAATGTAATCCAAAATCACCTGTTTAAAAAAAAAATAAATCTGGAAGTGGGTTATGGTATGATTTGCTGTTTTAAATGCTTTACCAAGATACTACATGTAAAGGAGATTTGTGTTATATTGATGTTATTTCTGAGCTACAGGTGTAAACATGGTGCTCCATATATTATTTGATTTGAATGGCTGTGCTGCGAGTACGATGTTCTGTGCATATTAGTCTTTAATCCTTTCCAAAGCAGTGAACCTGATAGTATTGACCACTCACATTGATGCTTCAGCATTCAGATGGAAGCTGCTTTCTGAAGCCTACACTGATCTACTGAATTTTTTTTTTTTTTACTAAATGTGTTTTTTGCCAAAATCTGTCTCTCAGATAAAGAAAAGGCCATAGAATCAAAGCCTTTCTAAATAAATAAATTTGGAAAACCTTGTCAGTGGCATGCATTGTTAATGTTTTACACATGCCATATATGCAGACACGGCTCTATAAAAGCTTTTACGGTCCAGTGCATTGCCACTACTGAAGATGTAGAAGTAAAGCAATTATTTGTATTCCAAATGGTGAATTCCATTACTGTTGGTGAGGTTTGTTTGTTTGCCGAGTCTCAGGGAGCTGTTATGATTTCTCTAATATGGTAATGCTTTGAGAATTAAAAGGGTAAAAATACAGAGGGCATAACGCAAAACCATTTGGAAGGCAGGGCTTTTTAGGATTCTCAAACTTGTGGTCCAGTATATAATTTATTAAGTGGGAAACAAAAATCCTCTTATCCTCTTTTTAACCTGTTGTGTTTGGTTGTTTTTTTTTTTTTGTTTAACATACCTCAGTCAATAGCAAGGAAATCCTGGCTACATATAAAGCTGTAACCCTTTGTGCAGTCCGCCTTTCACCTCTGCCTTTGCAAAGCGGATATATTTTGCACTTGCTGTATCCATACGTACCTACAGTGGTGAGGCTGGAACTCTTAATAAGACTCTGAAATGGATGTCATTTTTCCTTTTTTGCTCTTATACGAACCCATAATACCACTTGGAATTTAGACCCTATAGAATATTTCATGATGTGTTTCTGATTCAATTGTCTGTTAAGATGTATTTAGGAGCTACTGTATTTTAAAAAAAAAAGGTCTGATCACTATTTACTGTAAATCTCAGCTGTAATTATCATCTGTGAAAGTAACAAGTAAAAGTGCATGGAATGAAAAGAAAGGGGAGAAAAAAATATTGATTTTTTTCTACCCATGTTTTGCTTTTAGTGTGCTAACCCAAATAAGACATTTCTTTAGTTGAAAAGACATTGACTAAATGTCAACTGCCTGAGTTTTTTGTAAATAACTTTTTATCAGAAACTAGATACTTAGTCTTGATCCTCCATGTATTAGCCTTTTAATGTAACAGAAGCCGTAAGTGTATTTTGTTCGTCAGTCTAGCATCTTAAACTTGCCTTTTGCCAGAGCTTTTGCTTATAAAAGAGAATTTAGCTTTATGCTGAAGGGCAATAATAGCGTTGCAAAGTTGATTTTGTACTAAACACAGCGACATGCTACATGCAAAGTCCTGCACTTGGGACAGGCTTAAACTGCTGCAAAGGTGTTGTGCTGAGAGTGGGAAAAACGTAGAATATCAGTGGAAAAAATGAGGCAGCAGTGTGCCCTAGCAGTGATCGAGGCTGGCAGCATCCTGGGCTTCATTGATAGGGGCATAAGTGAGAGATCACAACAGTGGGTGTGGTTTTTTTTTTTTTTTTTGGTCTTAACTCAGAATTTGTGTGTTGGATATGGAGAATGGTGTTCAATATTCTGTACAAAAAAACCTTTTTTGTTTATAAACTTGAGTGGAGGACCACCAAGCTGGTCAGGGGCTGGAGCACTGAGCACAAGCTGATGGAACTGGACTTGTCCAGTCCAGAGAAACAAAGGATCGAGAGGGAACCTGTAGCAACCTTCCGGTACCAAATAGGTTACTGTAGAGGTGAAGCCAAGCTTTTTAGCCAAGTGCCCACCAAAAGAGTTAGAGACAGGGATCATAAATTGAGACTAGGGACACTTTAACTCGATATGAGAAAAAGAAAATTCCCATTCTTAAAAGATGGCTTTTTAATTTGAAATACCAAGAGTTGTCTTTTCCATAAAGTAGAAAATGTTAAATTCCACCCAAGAATAAAAAGAGAGATAAGACAAAAAAAAATTCCCCTAAATACAAATATAATCTGTGAATACAGAGAATGTAAAGGCGTGGCCGTGCTGTTGTTAACACTCCAATTCCTATCTTTCATTTCTCTTTTTCTATCTAAATAATATCTGCTAAACTATACTCAAGAAACACCTGTCTTCCTTTTATCTTCTCATTATATTAGTAGGCTTAGAACTTGATTTTTATAGTATATGTATTGATTCTAAAGATAAAAGAGAGCTACATGTTACCCATTGAGTGTCTTACCTACTGAAAATCAAGTCGGGTTGAATGTAGTTGAGACGTGTTTCTTGATTGGGCCAAAGAAGTGGATTTGACACAGTTGTTGAAGATCAGGATGACTGTTTACTACAGGTTTTAAACAACTCAGCAGGTGCTAATATTAACTCTTTTAATATGATTTTACTGTTGGTGACAAAACATGTTTCTGTTGTAATCTGAAGGCAAAGTAATTTTGTCCATTTAGAAAAAAAATGCTTTATCCACTTGATGATGTCAGAGAGATCAAAGACTGCAAATCCCAGTTCTTGTTCACAGCGAAATTGAAATGCAATTTCTTTTTACCATGCAGATGTTTAGCCACTAAATCTACTTTTTTTTTTTTTTAAGTTGGAAAAACTTGTATGTATGTAACACATAAAAACCTTTTAACTGCATACCATTACTGAGCATTGTTTAGCCTTTAATCACCGAATCGGTATGAATTAAATTGCATTCTTAATTGCCTAAATACCTTATATTTTTAAAAGCCTGTTTTTCGACTGCACTCATTTATCCTTAACAGGGTAATCCTTAAAGCTGAAAGGTCTGTATTAAATTGAACATCGATGGCAAGCCTATCATGAGGATTATAGAATTAGAACTTCTACTGATTTAGAGAATGAGAAAACAAATAGGAGATTTTACACACACATTTATGTGTTCTTCTTAAATAAATCCTTGATTTCATTTGTTGTGTATGTTGTAGCTTCTGTATAAGCACTGTACTAGATGAGTTAGTAAAATGCAGTTAAAAAAATCTTTACAGATATGCTTGTAATACTAATTCTCTATAAGAAGTGAAGTACCTTCATCTCAAACTCTTGTATACACTGGATGTCTCTATTGCCTTTGTAAATAAAGGGTAATCTCTAGTTCCACTAAGTCTTCAGTCAACTCATGCATTCATTCCTTATATCTGCATAGAAATTAAGAAACTAAATTTGTACTTAAAATAATTTTCATATTCTCTTACGTTCATAGTGTTCCTTTGGATAAACACATGCACTCTGCCCTGGGATGTAGCCACAACATCTGTGTTTACTTGGAAAATTGTCACTAGCCCTGTACTTTAACAATTATTTCAGAATTTATTTTTTTAAAAATAGTAAACCAATTCTAGCAGTTAGTGCACTTAAGTTAATGGAGAACAGAGGGTCTTATCACCATCAAGAAGGCTAATTTATTTCAAACCCCTAAAAATTGCCTCTGCAGTCTGGAGAATAGTGAAAACATGCAATTACCTATTTCTTCACACTGTGCATGATTTTCATGCAGCTTTTCATAAATAAAACTGGATGTACTAAATTTCCTTCACTGGCACTTAGGATTTCTTTTGCTTTTTTGTTGTCATTTTGTGTTCCTGTGAGGTTGGATATGTTTATTTCCTGTGTCTGTACAGAAATTGTCCTAAAGTCTTTAGGAAAAAGCAGTATGCTTTAGATTTTGCTTCAGTAAAACGTTGTGGATTTACAACAAGGAGTTTCTTTCACTTGACTGGTAGAAAAGCAAATTGTGACTTTAAGCATGCTGTTCAGCTATGCTGCGTTTCAGAGGGATTCCTTTAGAAATCTGTCAGTGGGAATGGACTAAATTCTGTTCTGTTTAATCTCTGTTCAGAGCTATTTTATTTTTCCGCAGCGAACATTCTGAACTGATGTTGCTAAAACCTCTGAACTTTATGGACTGTCCTCAGGTTTTGTTCTCAGCGTGATTGACTATTCTTTAAAAATGACAGCACAGGGATAGATTCCCTTTCGATTCTTAAATTATAAAGAGTTGCAGAAATTTCAATTTTAAAATAATTGGTTTCATTTGCAGGTAACTAGTGCAGGCAACTTTTTGCTAATGAGTTTACATCTGCAATATTCACTTTATTGAAACACTTTACTAAAAAAAATTATTTTTTTTCCTTATCCTTTTTTCCTGTGTTCACTTTTTAGATTCGAGATACGAAGTCATCAGATCAGAAAACAACCCTATTGCATTTTCTGGCAGAAATCTGTGAGGAGAATTACCGGGACATCTTAAAATTTCCAGATGAATTGCAGCATGTTGAGAGTGCAAGTAAAGGTAAGCAACTAGATAAAACACCTAAAGGTAATAGCTGTTTGCGTTGACATCAAAGGTTTCCAACATTTCATTTTAGATTATAAGATTATGTAACCTGTAAGAGGTAATAGCTGTTTGCGTTGACATCAAAGATTTCCAACATTTCATTGTAGATTATAGGATTATGTAACCTGTAACCATTGATAATCCACGTGGATTTTGCTTTTTCTGGTATTTATTGACCTAAGCAAAAGCAAGGAGGGGAAAATCAGTAATCTAGTAACTTCTCTTCTTCTGAAGTAGGTTGTGGAAATAATACAGCATGTTCCAGTGAAGTATTTGCAAAATCACCTACCAGAAGTTGTGTACGCAGGGTGATGCTGATGGTTAATTTACCATTAAGTATTGGAAGTTTTGTTACTTGAGAGTGAACACCCATGTGTGTGTGTGCACATGCGTACACACAGTGAGTTTCTCATTTTAACACTTGATTTAACACCTGAGTAGAGAATAACAACGTGCTGTCTAAAGTTCCCAGACTGTACATGAAATACATGGTTTATACTGTCCAGTCTATGATTAATACTAATTTTATTCTTGGTCAGTCTGGTGAACATGATGGAAAACTTGATTCTTTTATTGGATATCTTTTTACATGATATAAGCTGTGCTCCTCGGTACACTTGTTGCTTAACTGTTGAAAGGGAAGGCTATGTGACGGGTTGGTGAAGATATCACAGACTGTTTCTTTTTACCTGGGCCTTCCTGATTCATCAGAAGATAAGTACTTATGGGAGCACAAGAAAGAGAGAGGAAAAGAAGTTAGACACACATTTCCTCTAGCTCTATCCAGGTTTCCTCTTGCAAATTTTTATCTCCTTTTTCCAGTGTTATCACTCATGGTCTTTTTTCAGTGCAGTGGTTAGCTGTTAGATAAGATACTTGTTTTTTAATTAGGCCATCATTTTCTTTCGGCTTGTACACATCTGTCATAAACTTTCATTTAGCAGAACTCCTGTTTCCCCAAGGACTCAGGAAATAGTTTTTAGTCTCAAACTTAGTCACAGATTTATGTGCATTTTCTGCATATAAACTAACTTTTATTTCTATTCCTTAAATGTCTCCATGCTACTTGCCTCTTTGATTAGTACTGCATTGACATGAGTGCCTCTGGATAAAATGGAACTGATCTGTCTGTATGGGGTTGAGGATGGCATTGTGTTTTAAGGCAGCATGGAGACTGAAGAGATAACTTGTATGTTACCATCTTGAATGTACCACATCTCTAGATACACATATATATAACTAAAGGTGCATGCTTAAGCAGCGTGCAGCTGGCTACTTATATCTGAGCACCGCTATGGATATTACACAAAGAATTTTTATAATTGCTATTTTTTTGGTGTTTGTTGGCAATGTTGTTTGTTCCTGGCCTCTGAGATGGAATCAGATAACTTTCTCAAACTGATCCTTCCCCCCACCCCCAGCCTTACCCAGTAAGTGGCACTGGTCTGGCCAGTGTGTTCACAAGGACCTATGGTAGAGTAAAATACTCATTTATTTTGTTTATGCAAATAGCAGTTTGTCATTTTAGCTGAATTCCAGAAGTGTTTTCTTGACAATTCTTTTCTGGAGGTGGTTTTTTTTAACTTTAATCCCTTTTTTTTCCTGCTTCTCTTGTTAAATTCTTTACAAAGCCTTGTGGTTTACTAGACACATTTGATGATCTTTTATTCATTTTCTCCTGTGGCTGTCACTTTACCTTGCAGCTTTTGACATTGTTATAGTTTGATTCAGAGCCTCTGATGTTCTGTAAGTTTACTTGAGGAATTAAACCAAAAAAGTTAGTAAAGTTTAGTTAAGCTATAGCATACAAAAGAGAGAAAACATATTAACGGGAACAAAGTTATTAAAAAAAAATGATGCTTAGAATATATATGAAAAAGTTTTTATTGCAGTTAAATCTGTTTTATTCTGTAAGATAAAAGCTCATTACATTTACTATAAACAGCACTAACTTCTTATCAGAAGTGTAAATTACTGTTTGTTTCTAATGACCAAAAGTTCCCTTTCAGCCTTACTTTGCTTTTTGTAACAAAGCAGATTTTTGTTAGAATAAACGTGATTTGTGCTATTTGCTTCAACTGTTCCCCAAGGTGCTTTTTGGTTTTTGTTTAATTGTAATGTTCATCTGCTCTGTCATGTGTGGTCACTTTTCTGTGTAGGTAGTTAACATGCGTTCTGTGGAAGAGAAGATTTTCCCTTTCTACTTATTGTTTGGTGTGTTATAAAACAGTGGTTTCAGGGATGGACAATTAGGTTTATGTTTCCTGTAGGAGGCTTCCTTTGGAATAAATTGGCTACAGATATGAGGACATTGGCATCACTTAGTTGTACATAAAACAGAAGGAAAACTACCAGCAAACATTATCTCTGTATGAATTTTAAATAAGGAAATAGGAGCCAAACAGGTGACAGACTTCTTGAGAGGTGTGCTTTTACTTTTTAGGCACAAGGCAGCCTTGTAGTTGGAACTATACATAAGATTCCAAATACAAGACTTACCACGTTCAACTTTTTAAAAAATCTTGGATGCGTTTTCTCAGTTCCATGTAAATAAAAGTCTTGTTTTGCTTTAATTTACAAATAAGAATAAAGAACCAGCATCTGAACAATGAATGCATAATTTATTTTTTTTAACAAATAGCAGATAAAGCATAAAACTGGATTTTAATATGAAAAGGTCAATGGGATTAGATGAACTGCTCATGTATGTACTAAAATTTTCAATAATCTGATATTAGGTGTAATAAAAAATTTGTTCTCTTTAAAGATGTAAGATCAACTTAGCGGTTTATGAAAAGCAAAAACAAATTAGGAAACAGTTTTATTCTGGAAAGTATAAGCAAAGGTCAAACTGATTAACTATCAAGAGATTATTGGAAAAGCGTTCCTTCTTGCTTGAAGCAGACTGTATGAAAGGATAACCAATTAAAAAAATAACAAAGACATTGTGACAAACTGAATTCTTTGAAGTGGTATTCACTTTACCTTCCCCCAGTCTGCAGTGTTTGCCTCTTGTTCCCCTGCAGCTGAAACTATGCAAAGCCTTTACACATTTTTCTGCCTTGTTTACGTTGTTTGTATTTCATGTGCTGCTTTTCATGATATTTTTTTCTTATCATCTTACAATCTGTGATTTTATTAAACACCTGCCAAATTCCCATCCCTTTCTGCAGATTCAATCAAGCAAAACTTCAAAACAAAAATGAGAGGTACCTTACTAAAGTCAAATAGCAAGTTTGGGGTTTCTAGACAAGATAATATTGTAAAAAGTGTAACTGAGATTTCCTTAGAAAAGATATGTAGTTTTTAATTCGAGTCTCCTGTGGTTGTCAAGCCTCCTAGAAATCATAAAAGTAAATATTTAACATGTAAAATTAAGAGGATAAACATTACCTATATATTTTTAATAACAGCTCAGTTTCATCTTTTAAAAGAGCGACAGTTGTAAGTCACAGCTCATGGTTTATCCATTGTGCCTGTATTTAAGCTAAAGCATAACCGTGTCTGCATCAGTTGACCATCGTGTCCAGCTCCTCCTCAGTTTAACAGTTCTTAGTCCATTTATATTACCTGCTTGCTTTGTCTGCCAGGAGTGGGAGTTGCTGGGCTGTGTAGAGTCATATGAAGTTTTGTGAGCTTGTGTTGCTCCCACTGGTGTTTACTTCAGAAACAAATGGATCTAGAATGCTGTTGTGTGCAGTCAGCCATTGGCCATTCTATATGTTCTGCTGGCGTGCTGGAAGGTAAAGATACCCTCTCTGTATAGACAGTATGGGCTTTGGGTCTAGCTGAGCAGTTATGTAGGACTCCCTAGAACAGCTAAACTCCAAGCGCAGGGCTGAGCTTAACTGCAAATGCAGCATAGATAAGAGTCTCGTTCAGAAGTAATGAAGGTTTTTTCCAGTGCTTAACATACAGAATTCTGTGCTGATGTGAAGGTATGGCACTTAATAATTCTTTTAAAGTATGGTTAAAAGCAAACACAGAGCATTCGGAGTAAAATCAAGTGAAAGATGCCTTGGGGTGTGTGTGAATTATGTCTGTGTAGTAGACTAGAAAGTACTAATAGCAGGAGCACAGATTTCTCACTCGTGTTGACACAACAGATTTATTTCTTTAATTTGCAAGCATATGGTTCTGACAGTTGAGGCATCTCTCTAGAAGGGACATTAGCAGTCAGAAGCACTGTAGAATGCAAATATGTGTATACTTAATATATTATTACACTGTAAGAAAACACTCATTTTTAAATTCTGTACAGGTACTTCACTGTGATTTAATGCCATAATTTTAGAGCGGGAAAATATTTTAAAACGTTCTGTGCCATTATTGCTTTGAAGTATAACAATTTGAAACATGCTCGTAAGTAGCAGTCATTTTTCTGTCAAACAAAAGTTTTATAGTTCGTTGCAGTAGAAGAAGCTGTGTTTTTACAAAGAAATCTGCAATATTTTCCACCTTGCACAGTTTGAATTGCTGAAACAGATTTTGCCCAATCTGGCACGTTAGTGAGTATAAAATAGACAATGCCTTCTGGCGTGAGAAATTTAATGCCTGCATCTGTGACTCTTCTCTCCATAATAGAATATGAAGTTGGCATTTTGCATCATAATCAAAAGTCAATCTTGCACTGTATGGTGACTTCTGTCATTCTTTTCATTCACATAAACTGCAATATTGAAATGTCAGAAACTCTCTGCATGTGTTTTTCTCAATGTAGTAAATACACAGTTAGGTATGTAAAAACCACAAGACTTTTTTCTCTAGTAACACTCCTGTGTTTGCATATAGCATTGCCATATTGATGGTAGCTTGTGCATCATCTCATTAAACGTTTTCAACAGACGTGTTCTTCTTCATGGACAAGCATCAGTGAGGAAGACAGAGAAGCAAAAATTTCCCTGGATAGATTTTTGTGTTGTAGTTCCAAGGTGCAATTTCTGAAAGAGATCCTG